CAGGATAAATGGTTCGCTTCTGATACTTCACATAGCGAGCTTCACTGTCGGAATTGAGAAACTGCTCAGATAAAGGAGGTGATGATGGCTCGGACTGTGAAGGATTAGCAGCCTCAACACGTGACAGCTCATACCGGTACTTACTTCGCAGATCAAGAGGATCGTAAGGAAGCTTGTTCTTGCCTTTGATGAAGCGCATCAAGGAGACATCAAGGTTCTCAGCAGATCGAAACTCCCAATTCCACTGTGTGGAAGACGAATCGGAAGCAGAATCCGAGTCGTACAAGCTGACCGGAGGAGATGGCACGTGCTCGCGTGGTGACGGTTCATATTCGGATGACAATGACTCTTGATCGGACCGTGATGATTCCACCGGAGATGCTGCAGACGAGGACGAGTTGGATTCTGACGGAGAAGATGACGATTCCGGCGGCGTCGTTGCAGATGGTGGCGATTGGCTTTTCTCAGCCGTCGGAACCTTCGGTTCAGAAGACGATGAATCGGCTTCCTCGTCTGAGTCTGGCACAGTTTCGGCGCAGGTGAGATCAACGGAAATAGCCGAAGAACTTGGCATGGTGGCATTACCGCGATTCGACTCTTCAGCAAGGGCTTTGAGTTGCCCTCGGGTTCGTGCCCTTTTCGCAACCGGCGGAGATGAATCTGGAGCACAGCGGCGCTTGGTTGGGACTGGCTCGCGAGGTGGCGACGGCGACACTAGGGACTTACAAGCAATGACGGCGTCGAAGAGCTCCGGGCGACCACGGTAACGAGCGGAAGATTTGGTTCTTGGCATGGTGAGAGCTTGAAGGATATGACCTAATTTTTGTGTCGATCCCCTTTCTTTTACCCCTTTTTTTTTATTTTACTCAACACTAAACCGAACCATTAGTACAGACCAGTTTTTCAACCCAAAAATCCAAATTAACTCAGACTAAACACTTTGAGCCACGTCAATTCACACATTCACATTTCATTTAACTTAGACATTTCAAGCAACACAGCAACTTAAGAGTACAACACCCATTTTCTGTACAAAACCCTTAGGGAGGGAACCGAATATTTACCTTAGATATTTATGAGCTTCCCCTTCCCTTCTGTGTGTGTGCTAGAACTTGATCCAAGACCGAATGCAAGAAACAGAGGGATTTGAATTTTGAGCTGTGTGAAAACACCTACTTTCTTGTTCCAGCATGAAAATTCATACAGTTTTCATCATGGTTAGCATGCTGACATATCCCAAGAAGCAGTCTTCATCAGCGATGAAGAACAA